TTAAAACTAACTATCTAAAAGAGATTTTTATAACTAATTTTTTAATAAAATAATATGTTAATTTTTAAATATAAATTAAAATTTTAATTTTAAAAAAAAATTAAAACCAATATACGTTAATTTCTATTTTTTTAAGAGTTGGGGTATCATTTTCTTTTTTCTTTTTTTAATTTTTCCAAAATTTAAAACTAACTATCCAAAAGAGATTTTTATAACTAATTTGTTAATTAAGAACAAAGATAATTAATCTACATATATCAATCTAAAACTTTCAGGAAAGTGACATTGAACTCGAGGAATAAGTTTAAACAGATTGAATCGTTAAAACATAAAAAATGGATCCAAAGCAGAAGAAAAGGCAAAAAGAAGTAGAAAGCTTAAAAACACTAGAGCACCTCACCGTGTGCGTAAAACTTAACATAAACTTCACTCTACCCTCGTTTATGGCTGAAAAGACATTCAAAGGGTGAAAACTTGAAAATACACACTAAAACTAGAGATGTTATCCAGCTACATGTGATCAATCTCTGCCATCATCCTCACTAATTCCATCTCCACCATGCCTGCAACCAAGGCGAACAAGATATAGCTTGAGAAAGATATCATCAATCCAAGAATATAATGGCATTGAATCTCTAAGGTTAAGGTTTCTAGCACTTGATGTCAAAAGATTAACTTTTTCCTAAAACATAATGAAAGATGAAGCAAGATTTATTTTAGCCGGGGTGAAGAAACAAACCGCCAAGAAGAGGTAAGATTCCTGGCTTTTCTATCCAACTTAAGGTTTTCCAGGGCTGCTGAAGTTTGAATAACATCCTCTGGGAGATCATCGCCGTCATATCTCCTATTGTACTCATCTTTCCTGTAGCCAGACATGGAGGACCCTGCTCTCCGATCTAAATGGCAGAACATATCAGATAAGGAAACATAAATCTAGTTGATAATATAACAGATGGTAGATGAGATAATCACCCACCAGATGATTGGGAAATGGAAACTGGCCTGTAACACCAACCAAAGGAAAAAAAGTCAGCTCTACAAGCATGGAAATCGAGAAAGAAATAGTAGAAGATAAGACTTAAACAAATATGAGTGTGATATTAGTTAAGCACCTTCCTAGTGGGGGTAAGCCCCCAGCAACAGATGATGAGGAGGGTCTTCTTGCGTTCCTAGCCTCTAAACCAGACAAAGACTCAGTTTCTGGAGGTCTCCTTCCAGTTCCCCTAGCTTGGGATAAACTCTGTCAGAACATGCTCTAAAAATATTATCAGCCTTTCCTTATAATATATTATTACAATATTACGAAAGACACCAAAGTTTAAAGATATCATCATGATGAAGGAAACAAATTGCATATATCTGCTTACACCAAACAAAAACAAGATTTTACATGAAATCAATCACATTTTTGGTACAACATAAGTTGAACTCCATTGTAACATTAAGAGCATAAGGTGAGAAAACTAAGCCTCATTCTAATCAATTGGCAGGCTTGCTATTATCATGCAATACCAAGCATTGATGTGAATGCCCACCTTCCAATTAGAGGGTTTAAAAAGTCTAAAAGCATTTGTTCATATACCCTTGTGCTAATTTCCTGCTTTCCCCAAGCTTCTTCTTTCTTACTAAGAATCCTTCCAATAGTTTAGGAGTTCAGTCATTGTGAAGATTATTGCAATCTAAAGGTAAGCTAAAAAGATATTTTGCATGTACAGAATGTAATTTTTTATATATCCAATAATTGACTGCCACAAAGCAAAAAAGAGAATTGATCATCCTCATGTGACAAAAGTACAATCATGATAGCAAACCTTATATTCTCAAACAAGTTCTTTCATATAATATAAATGGAAAAAATAATGCAAGAGATATTATCTAACCTCAAACTTTAAAAAGCCTTCAAGAACATCCAAAAGCAAAGGACCACTATCCCCGTTTCTGTTCAGATCATAACCTTTTTTGATACTAAATTCTGTCAACTCACTTTTCCAAAAGTCCTTTTGCTGCAATGCAAAAAGAGAAAAGAAAGGCAACAATTCACATACAAGCTTCAAATAAAAAAACGTAGAATAGATTATCATTATTACAGCAAGGACCAGAACTATAATACATTGAAAATCACTTGATTACCAAATTACACTCTGGCAGATAAACTTTTAGGGTGTGGTTTAGCTGTGCCCAGTCTAAGTATTCACATATTAGTGCAGTTAACAGTCTTCCTGCATTTGGAAAGTCAAGGTACAGAATTAAAAGGAGAAGAATATAGAAGAAAGTTACACTAGGAAAGGTAAATAAAACTTCAGGAAGAGGAATGCTAGCTGCACTCGCCTTTCTCCAGCACTCTCCAACACTCCCTCATCTAAAATAGCCACGTGAACTTTTCTAGTTGGAAACTTTCAATTGCGAGCCAAATTTTGTTACGTGGACATTTTACATGAGAGAGTGTTGGAGAGTGCTGGAGAAAGGCAAGTGCAGCTAGCATTCCTCACTTTAGGAAATATCATACATTCAACATCATCAACAAACTCAAGATTATGATATTCTAGAAAACCATGAGCCTTTATATAAAGTTCCAATGGCAAGGCAGGCATCAAACTCCAACAAGGATGATTCTAGAGCAGCAAAAGGAAAGAAAAGAAAAGAGCATTTTGGCTGTGCTAGCTCTAATGGATACTGTAATGCTATCAAGGTTTCATATAATCTAATAACAGTAAAATAAAACATTTGCTACAGATGCCAAATCAACTAGGTTTTTTGGGCTTCTTCTTGATGTATAACCTCAGTCATGATGCAAACAGGATAGGATCAAATTTATGGACAGACCAGATGGAGAAGCATGGAGTTGTTTTGCACGTTCATTGCAGCTACCCAACAGTGCAGCTGGCAAACCTTCGTCCCTTTCAATTACTCGATCCTCCTCTTCAATTGCCTCAAAGACACTTGCCCTGAGTTCAGCCTAGCAAGAAAACTAACTGGGTGAACAAAAAAGGCAAAATAGAAGAAAAACAAATGCCCGTTTCTTTTATCTGAAAACACAACAACTCTCTCACAGATTTCTGGAAACACAATAGATGAACCATTCTCAAAGCATAATTTACACAACAATCATCAAATTCCATTCATTTAATCTATTTATAATTTGCCTCAATACCGCACAGAGATCTTAAATGTTCGAATATTTTGCTCTTTTATAATTCCACATGAGCATCTTAAGATCTACTATTAGAACAACAAAACAGAGACAGAATACAAACTTCATCGTTTATCCACCAAGCGTAATGTTGCAAAATTAAAGAATCAAAAGAGGAAAGATCTTGAATTTTCATCATCAACACGAGATCCAAGCTAAAAGAAGCTTGCTTTGCTAAGCTAACTAGCTCCACAGAGGCAATTCCCCTATCCCATTTGATTTCAATTTTAATTTCCCATTTCCCAGGCACATTCTCGGAAACCAAACAAGAAAAAAAATGCCAAATTTGAGAAAAGTTGAAGCGTATGTTACCCGGATCTTGGCAAGAACGCCTTTCTTCTCTAGGGTTCGCGTGACTAGGGTTTTCAGGTCCATCATCTCTCTAGTGTAATCATCCATTTCTTCCCTCCTCTTTCCTGTACAGAGAAAACTGAATTTTCTTCTTCCTTTTTCTCTCCTTTCTCAGATTTCTGTTCCTGATTTTCTGCTCTCCAGTGTTGGCGAGAAATGAAGAGAGATATGAGAGTGCCTGCAGGGGGATTAGGAAGCTATGATAATAATAATAATAATACTTTAACATTTACTTATTGATGTGGGGTCCAGAAGACGGTGAAATGTAATCTGGACCGTTAAATCTGATGATCTCGGACGTGGAAGCGGGTCCCGCATGAAGGGGTTTTTAAATTTTTTTTAGTTCAAATTTTTGAGCCAGAAATGACTTCCGTCGATATCAGTCTCCGCCGCCCTGAAAGCCCAAATAGCTCAATCTTTTTGCAGCCCAAACTTTATGATTGGAGCACGGAACTAAGTGGGCCCACCTACTCCCAACTACTATCGCAACTATTCCTTCTCAATGGGCTTTAGCCCTTTCCTAACTTTTTTTTTTTTTAAACTATCCCTTCTCGAAATTCGAAAAGAAACTTATTTTTTAAGTAAAGAAATAGGTTGGCAAAAAGAGATTAAAAGAATAAAAGAAATTTTTTATAACAAGATAAATTTTTTTATTATGCAAAAAGGTATTGCTTCTCAGTTCGGACCAAGGAAATAATCACTCAACATTATCAAATCGACTAAAATATTTTTTTATTAGGTTCAAAGAATTTTTTAGTTAGAATTAAGTCTATAAAAAGTTACACCAAACCAAATGTCACTCTTTAAATAAAATATGATGTTCTTTATATATATATATATATTTTGAACATTTTGTCATGAGACCGACTCGAATCGTTATTTTGAAGAGGGAAACATGAACCTTACAAACGTGACTAGAGTCACTTGACCCAAAGGGCCAGGTTCGATGTTCTTTATATATTATGCCTCCAAAGATGTAATAGTTTTATATATCGACTATATTCCCTTCTTTATATCCCATCCAAAAAAATTCATTTTTTAATAATAATATATTACCTATTTTTACCAAAAAGAAAATGGTATTCTACAATAAAAAAAGAAAAGAAAAGAAAAAGGAATATATTCCTTTAACACATTTTTTCTAACAAGTACTAAATATCCCTCTAACACATTCAAACAGGAATTTCATTGAAACTTCCAACTACAGTTTTAATTTTGATGCCAACAACGTAAATAATTAGTATGTCTTTAGACGTAAGTAATACTAAATTTGAATCATATGATATATAAGTGAGATGGGGTAAATGATGAAAAAAAGATTATCTCTCATTATATAATCAATATAAAAAAAATGGTTTTAATCTTGATTTTTCTTATTCTTAATTTTTTTTAATTACAAAAGTGCAGTTGAACCAATTTTCATTCCTAGTTCTCATACAAAGACTAAGAAACGAATATTTCCTTCCTTTTCTCATTTTATTAAGTTAATATTAACTATGAGAATTTCCTTAATTTTTATTTGGATAAAAATTAATAAAGAGAAAGAGAAAATTAATACATTCCTTTAACACACTTTTTCTAACAAGTACTAAGTATTCTTCTATCACATTCAAACAGAAATATCATTGAAACTTCAAACTAAAGTTTTAATCTTGATTTTTCTTATTCCTAAAAATTTTTATTTTTTTAATTATAAAAGTGCATTCGGACCAATTTGCATTCCTAGTTTTCATATGGAGGCTAAGAATCTAATATTTCCTCCCCTTTTTAAATTTCATTAATCATGAAAATATTCTTTTGTTCGGGTAAATTAATGAAGAAAAAGAGAGAGAAAGAAGGGAGAAAGAGACGTAAAGCAAAAGGAATAATTGATATTAATTTTATTTAAATAAATAAAAGTAAAAAATATGCTTATTAAATTAAAGATAAATAAAAAATTGATCTGATTTAAAATGAAAACAGAAAAGTGGAGGCTCTATCCCGTTCCTTTTTTTTTTTTTCAGGAAAAGGTAATTTCCATATTAAGGAATCTAAACAAGGAAGAAAGTATGTAAAAAAAAAAAAAAAGTTATAACCATAATTTTTTTATATTAATTTTTTATTTAATTTTACGTAAGTAAAAGCATTTAATATCCTAATTTTACATAAATAAAAAAAATTAATTATTTATTTAATATATCAAATTCTACCAAAAGTGAGTAAAAAAGTTTTCCAAAATCATTTTGAGAAAAAAAAGAAGGAAGAAAGCATCTTTCCCATATTATCCTCCCCTTTCCCTCTTAATCCCCCAATCCAAACAAATGTTTAAACTTTAAAGTCTTCAAAAACCCACCACAGCACTTACTTCTCCATTTCAGTACTTTAATCCTTTCCATCTGCAAACCCTATTCCTCCCCTCTAATGGCGCCCATTGATCCTCACTCCTTCACTGACTCCTCCCATCCTCTCACCACCCACATCGCTCTCACCCTCTTCTTCGATTTCCCCTCTTCCACCATCCACGGCGCCGCTGTCCTCTCCCTCTCCTGCCCCCACACCGGCCCTCTTTCTCTTGACACCCGCGCTCTCTCCATTCATCAAATTCTTGACCCTGACACCCACTCTCCTCTACCCTTTTCTCTCTCACCTACTCCCGACCCAATCAAGGGCACCCTCCTTTCCGTCTCCCTCTCCAACCACTCCTCCTTCCTTATCATCTTTTCCACCTCCCACGCCTCCTCCGCTCTTCAGTGGCTCTCTCCGCCGCAAACCTTCAACAAGACTCACCCTTTTGTCTACACCCAATGCCAGTCCATCCACGCGCGTTCGATCTTCCCTTGCCAGGACACTCCTGCCGCGCGTGTCCGCTACTCTGCTTTGCTCAATATACCTCGGGAGTTGTCCGCTGTCATGGCTGCCAAGCACGTGGATCGTCGTCCGCCTATTGCTGGAGAGGGGAATACGAGCTTCCTCAGCCAGGGATTTGGTTCATTGTGGGCAGCGGAAGGAAGGGTGGTGGAGGCGTTTGTTATGGACCAGCCTGTGCCACCTTACTTGTTTGCGTTTGCAGTGGGGGAGCTGGGGTTCAGAGAGGTGGGGCCAAGGACAAGGGTGTACTCTGAGGCGGTAGATTCTGTACTGGATGCGGCGGCACGGGAGTTTGAGGGGACCGAAGAGATGATTAGGCAGGGGGAGAGGCTCTTTGGGGATTATGAGTGGGAGAGGTTTGATTTGCTTGTCTTGCCGCCTAGTTTTCCTTATGGAGGAATGGAAAATCCGAGGATGGTGTTCCTGACCCCCACCGTAATCAAGGGGGATGCTAGCGGAGCTCAGGTGGTGGCACATGAGCTCGCACACAGCTGGACTGGAAATTTGATTACCAACAAGAATAATGAACATTTCTGGTTGAATGAGGTATGTGATTGTATTCCCTTTCCTTGGAAGAGATTGATGAATTTGCATGGTATCTCTAATGTCCTGAAAAAGTGGAAAAGTTGTTCATTTTTTCTCAATTTTGTCTTATTCTAGAGTTAGAATTCCCAACCCTAATTTAGTTGGTTTTGTACATTTGTTATAAGTGCTTGCTTGTTATGGAAAAGCGGAACAATTTGCAATTCATTGATTTTCTGAACAGTTTTTGCTTCTGAAATGGAGATTTGGTTTGTCTCTGATGTAGTTTGGTTGAGAGAGTCATGTTTTTTTTGCAATGAGGTATGGATTATTCCATTATTCTTTTTGTGGTTCTAGGGTTTTACAACATATGCTGAGAGGAGAATTGTTGAGGTTGTGCAAGGAGAGGACAGGGCTACATTGAATGCTGGCATTGGTTGGAAGGGCTTAAATGAGGACATAGAGAGGTTTAAGGACAACCTGGAGTTCACGAAGCTCAAAACCAAGCAGGAAGGAGTGGATCCAGATGCTATATACTCCCAAGTTCCTTACGAGAAAGGTTTCCAGTTCCTTTTGCGTATTGAACGCCAGGTACCTTCAAAGTACTTACTGATTTTAGTTGCTGTTTTTGAAGAATATCATCAAGTCTTGTTCATTTTTGTGTCTGGACTCCTTAGATTGGAAGAGCAGCATTTGATGAATTCATCAAGAAATATATTGCCACCTTCAAATTCAAGTCAATTGACACTGAAACATTTATAGATTTCCTAAAAGCAAATGTCCCTGGAATAGAGAACGAGATTGATCTGGAATTGTGGACTGAGGGAATTGGCATCCCTCCAGATGCCTATGAACCAGTGTCTAATTTATACACCAAGATTGTGTCACTGGCAAATGAGTTTAAACTTGGGAGAATGCCAAGAGAGGATGAAGTTGCTGATTGGCAAGGGCAAGAATGGGAGCTTTACTTGGAGAACCTGCCCAAATCTGTTGAGGCTTCTCAGGTAATGTAGTTTCTCTTTTTTCAAGAGCTTCTTTACCTTGATAAAAAATAATTGGAATATACTAGGTGATACAGATCTACTGTGTCTCATAATCATACTATGTGAGTTTTAGCAAATTTTCTGTCAGTTTCGTTTGAATTTGGATGCTATTAATCAAGGCGCCACCTTTTTAGCATACCCAAAAGAGAGCCAAAGTCGGAGAGTAAGCTAGTCACCCTATGAATTGTTGTCTTATGAGTATCAATTTTGTGTTGATAATGCAGATCCAAGCCTTGGATGAACGTTACAGGCTATCAGAATCGAAGGATTATGAGGTAAAAGTGGCATTTCTCCAACTAGCCATTTCATCCAAATGCAGAGATTACCATGGTGAGGTGGAGAAAACTTTAAAGGAAGTTGGGAGGATGAAGTACCTTCGTCCACTCTACACTGCTCTAGTTCAAGGCACTGGGAAGGAGGAAGAAAAGATTCTTGCTAAAAGGGTGTTTGCAGAGACTGGGGACTGTTACCACCCCATAGCTCAAGGTGTTGTTGAGTCAATCTTTGCAAAACACCTATAGATGGTACTTAAAATGGTACTTGTTGGACCTCTGATCTTAAAACTATATATTCTGGGGCAATACTGCTGTCCTGACTAACGCCACATCTATTCACTGTGTTGATAGATGCATCCTGCTTGGCCTATATAATGTTTCTGATAATGTTTATGGAAATAATCTATTGGCTTATTTTTCCAATTCCAGATAGATGGATGCCTAAACGCAGCCATTCATGATTCAAAACATATGTAATTTTACCACCTACAGCTAAACAACAGGTTAGGTCAGATGCAAAATCCAGGGAGGCAACAACATCAAAGCAGATCTGTCTCTTTTACACACACACACAAACTTAATGATCAGGAACAAACTCAAAAAATTTATAGAAGCATAAGCTAATTTGCACACACACACACACACAAACTTAGTGATCATGAGCAAACTCAAAAAATGTATAGAAGCATAAGCTAATTTGCAGATGTCAATATAGAAGCATAAGCTAATTTGCAGATGTCAATATAGAAGCATAAGCTAATTTGCGGTGAAATGAAGTTTCAATTTCCAAAACAAACTCAAATAAAACACACACACACACACACAAACTTAATGATCAGGAACAAACTCAAAAAATGTATAGAAGCACAAGCAGAAGCATAAGCTAATTTGCACACACACACACAAACTTAATGATCATGAGCAAACTCAAAAAATGTATAGAAGCATAAGCTAATTTGCAGATGTCAGTATAGAAGCATAGGCTAATTTGCGGTGAAATGAAGTTTCAATTTCCAAAACAAACTCAAATATCACGCACACACACAAACTTAATGATCAGGAACAAACTATAAAAATGTATAGAAGCATAAGCTAATTTGCACACACACACAAACTCAATGATCATGAACAAACTCAAAAAATGTATAGAAGCATAAGCTAATTTGCAGTGAAATGAAGTTTCAATTTCCAAAACAAACTCAAATATTGATTTTACATTCTATAAGAATCTTCCCCTATTAACAAAAAAAAAAAAAAAGAGTTCTCTCTAAGCTTGCACTTACAAACACAAGAATCTGGAACGTATGATTTCCGACCTCATTATTGGCCCACTTCCTCTTCGAGCTTCTGAACATAGGTTTTCAAGGCCATCAATATATGCCTGGCTGGCTGCTGAAGGATACTCACAAGCCCCATTGCTGGCTCCTGCAAAGACCCTGCTCTTTAGGCATGTTCTCCGGCTGCTTAAAATCCCCAGGCCCGTAAAACTTGCCCTCGAAAAGGGCACCTACAAAATCATTATCTTCTAACCTCTTCTCTCCTTGGAATGCTCTGTGAGGCTTAATCGCCTCTGGGATCTCCTCGCTGTGGACGAAGAGCTAGGCGTTCATTCCGTTCATGCAGGGGTCTGAGCACCTTCCAAGGGGTGCCCTCCAGGCCACGATCAACTTCGAGGATTCCGGAAGGGCCCTGCACAGGTCCTGAAACTGCTTGACGGTGAAGGCCGTGTAGTTGATTCCGGCGAAAAGGTAACAGTTTTCGAGCTAAGTCTTAACGGTCTCGACGGTCTCCTCCTTCTAGGAGCTGTAATGGTGGCTCTGCTGGAGGGAATCCGGGAGGTTTGACGGAGACGAGTTTGGGTTTGGGGAAAATAAGTGGACTTGAGGGTTTTAGAATTAAGGTTTGGAAAGCCAGGGATCGGGAGGAAGGGGTAGAAAGGAGGCTAGTAGCTTCCATTGTTGTGTAGAGGAGAGGACAAAAGGAGCAGACGGAGCGGTAGCTTATCTTGTTTGCAGACAACGAAGGGACATGGAACTTTTGAGGAGAAAGAATCGCAATTACAAATAAGATAAGAATTTTTTTTTTCTTCAAAACGCCTCCTTACTTTACTGGCCTACTGCTGCTCAAGAACCAAGAGTAAATTTTAGTCATGGTGTTTTTTCGAATCTTTCCTTTGGTTTTTTGTTGATTATATTGAGAGTAACTGAAAATAAGAAGGATGAATTGGGATTGTTAATTAGCTCATTCCTTTTATTACTTACCTATGCATTAAGTATTAAGCTTCTCTGAACATTTTAAGTGGGAATTTGAATTTTTTTACCAATATAAGTATAGAGTGTAGGGATGGTACTTTTCAATGTCTTTCTGAAATACTCCTCTTTCTGATCTTCCTGTTTCAGTCTTTTTCTACTTTGTTGGCCATTTCTGCTCAAGTTGTCGCGTATCAATGAATGAAGTACAAATGTTACACAATAGTTTTTCCATTTTGACAATCTCATGTGGATGAGATTATCAAAATGGAAATTAACATGTGAAACAATTTTCTTTATCTTCATAAGGTAATTTATGTTGGACAAATCATCTATACGTTTGTTGATTGTTTTAAAATAATGCACATGGAGTGTGGTTACTTATGACTGCACATAAATGTGTCAGAGTTATACATATTTATTAATTTTGTCTTTAAAAGTATTAGTTTTGTCTTATTTAATTGTAAAAAATAATTGATAATTAATATTAATTATTTATTAGTCATTATATTTAAAATAACTTATAAATTAATATTTTTAAATATTATAATTAGTTGTGTAAAAGAAAATTATATATGATAAAATATCAATGTAATCAAATTATATACATTATTAATTGTATGAACTTAATAAATTTACATGTGGCGATATCCACAGCCTGGCATGGAAATACTTTCTTGAAGCAGTGGGATCCAAATGTAGGATTTTTTTTTTTTTAAACAGTTTACAATTTGGGAGAAAGGAAATTTTTTTCGAAGTGTGGATGAAGTTAAAACTTAAATAGATATATTCAAACACTTTAAGGTTTAAAATGAACTACTAAGTTTGAAAGCCCAATTCCATGTGTAGGATCCATTTGTATTATCTCCTTATTGAAGAGATTGAAAAAGAGTAAATGTGTGAAAAAAGATATAAACTTTACAAATTTTTTTATTTAAGCGTGTTAAATTTATTAATTTTTAAACAAAAATATCAACTTTCAATATTTTTTATTTAAGAATATCAATTTTTAATTTTTTCTATTTAAAAATATTAACTTTAAATTTTTTATATTTAAGGATTAATTAAAT